GCAGCTGCTGTTTTCTTTTCAGGGGTTATGAGCCGATATATGCTGCTTAAGAAGTTAAGGAAACGCTTAAATGATACAGCGCGTCTTGATGAAAGAAATATTTAAATCCTTACTGACGTTAATATTTACTTTTACTCAAAAAGCAAGAAAAAAATGAATATTTGTATAGACTGTATGAGTAATTTTATATTTAAATTGTTCATCGCTCTTTGTAAAGATATCTTTCAAGACAGGACTCTTCGTCCCAGCTGAGCCAGCAGCAGTGACCAAGCAAACTAGAGAGTGATTAATGAGAGGGAGTGATGTTGGCGGTTACAGTGGCTCAGAGAAATACATTTGCTCTAATTGTTTGACCACAATTAAATTCAGAAACACAAAAACATCTACGTTCACTCATTTGCAGCACTGCTGAAACGTGATGCTGAATGTTGCGTGAATGCAGCTGTCATCTGTGGCCTCTGTTTGTGTGTACGCGTAGCTTTTTATACAGATGTGACACAGACAGAGAGCAGCAGAGTGCAGTGTTCACAGAAGCTCGATCTGTTCGTGTGTTTTCAGTGGGAGAAACATTTCGTCACTCAACCAAATGACTAATGTAGTCTCAGCTGACTGCAATTTTCCCATACCCCATAAACAGCACATTTGCATAATGGCTGACCCTAGCACCGCTGGCTAACAATGGGCCGAGCGGTCAGTTTCGTGATCATTAATATGCAAATTGTCATGACCATCCAATGAGTACCATTGAGTAGAGTTGGGGAATGGCTGCAGTCACAGCATTGGAAGATGGTCCCTCCTCAATTCAGAGATGGACTTTTCACGTGAATGGCCCCCTTGACTCCTTGCTCAAACCAGCGTTCCTCCCTGTCCAGGATGTGCACATCATCAACACTGAAGAGTGGCCACTGGCCTGTAGTTGTGAGTAGACCATGGAGTCCTGGATTGATGTAGTAACTCAGCCAGAGGTTGTTTGGTTCACCAGAAATGGCCTTTGAATGTATATGTGTGTTGTTGTATGAGGTATGCCTGATTTTTGAGTCATCTGGGTTACTTCCTCATTCTCTTTAGAACTACTGTGGCCTGTTTACTGCACAAATAATAATAATCACTGAATAACATAGTGTTCTTTATAAATGATTAAATGGCCCATTTGTTTTTCATTGCCTGCACTGTTTTAAGCCTCTGGTTGGACCTCTCCCTTTGGCTTGCATTAGT